CCCTCCGCCAGGTGGCCCCGCGAGCTCCAGCGGCCGAATGAGGAGGAGGAGGAGGAGGAGGAGGAGGAGGAGGAGGAGGAGGAGAGGAGGAGGAGGAGAGGAGGAGGAGGAGGAGGAGGAGAGAGGAGGAGGAGGAGGAGGAGGAGGAGGAGGAGTCCGTAGCCATTTTGGCTCAAGCCTGCCTTGGGCGCCAGGCAGGCAGGTGCTTGCTTGGCCTCTCTCGTCTGCTGCTGCGCTCGAGAGCGGCTCTCTCCATCTCCCCTTCGCCGCGTCCTGTGGCCATGGCGGAGCTCTCGGAGGGGTCCAAGGTTTCTGCTACGGGTGGCCGCCCGCTTCTGTGGCGGCCTAGCTCGCTCCGCTCCCAGGAGGATGCCGCCCTGGGCAGATCGGCTGCGAGAAGAAGGGCCAGGCGGAGATGCAGGCAAGCTTGCGAGAACGCCCTGCGCAAGCTGGCCGAGGCAGAGGCGCGCCCAGGCTCCTGGCAAGATCGGGAGCGGGCGGCGCGGCCGGCGCGGCCGGCGCTGGTGCTCGCGGCCAGCGGGCGCCGGGTCCCTGGGGCGCGACGGCGGCGCCGGAATGCCGCACTTCACGCGGCGCGCATCCCAGCGGTGGGATTCGCAGCCGCCTCTGAGGCCGACCTGGCATGGGCTGCTGCAGGGCCTCGGCTTGGGGAGATGCACGCCCACGAGGTCCATGCAGAGGTGCTGGATGGTCAGCTGCTCAACGTGGCTGTGCCTGGCACGGAGGCGCTGGGATTTTAGCCTCCCTGCGCTTTCCCCATCGACGAGGGCGTGGAGGACGAGTGCTCGGGCTGGCCTGCTCCTGGCATCTGGCAGCCTCTCAGCCCCGATGCGGAGACTCGCATCTTCGCGGACGGCTTGGACGCGGGCTGGCGACTCGCGGAGCAGTACCTGGAGCACAGGGGGCCCTCGGAGAAGCTACGCGCCCAGGACGCCTCCCTCGTGTCGTCGGGCTGGGTCGTGGAGGAGGTGCACGAGGAAAGCCTTCGAGGAGCTCCTTTTCGTTTTGCCCCTGGATCTTTTCGCCAGGGTGATCCCGATCATGACGGCGAAGATCGGAGTGCTGGCTCGTGCGGATATCGGGATCGCCGTGGAGTCACGGGGTCGAGCCGCAAGAGGGCGGTGCATCGCCGCAGCCCTGCGACTTCTGATCCTGGCCCGACGGCGCCGCCGAGTGCAGACGCTTCTGGCATCGGGCCCCCGCGGCGGGCCGACTGCCAGCAGCAATGAACCCACCCTGTCCTGGGACCAGCCTAGGCGGGGTTTTGGGTTTGGGGCTTCGGCGACGCTTATTCTCCTCTTTCCCTCTTTCCTCCCTCCGTCTCGGCCTTCCTTCTTCTCCGTGAGCGTCGCCTTAGCCTCCCGTCCATATATTTTTGTCGCTCTCTGCTCCTAGAGTGGACTTGTGACACAGCAGTGCAACAGTGCAACAGAGGAGGAGGAGGAGGAGGAGGAGGAGGAGGAGGAGGAGGAGGAGGAGGAGGAGGAGGAGGAGGAGGAGGAGAGGAGGAGGAGGAGGGAGGAGGAGGAGGAGGAGGAGGAGGAGGAGGAGGAGGAGGAGGAGGAGGAGGAGCGAGGAGCGAGGAGCGAGGAGCGAGGAGCGAGGAGCCTCTCCGGAGCGGCGAGACGGAGGGCTGGGCCGCCCGTGGGCGGGGGGCCGTGCTTGGCGGACGTGGCCGCTCGCCCGCCTCCGCGCCGCGCGCGGCCGTGCCTCTCGGGGGGCCTGCCGCCGCGGGGCACGGCGGCGGGCCCCGCCCGGGGCGCCCCGCGCGGCCACCCTCGGGCCGCGCGTCGGCCACCTCGCGGGCTGCCCTGGGGTGCTCTCCTGGAAGCCCACGCGGCGTCTGAGCCCACTCGGCCAGCGGGCCGCCCCGCGCGGCCATCCTCGGCCCGCGCGTCGGCCATCTCGCGGGCGGCCCTGCGAGCCCACGCGGCGTCGGATCCCACTCTGCCAGGGAGATTTGGCCCAGGCAAGCTCAGGCGGAGTGTATATAGATCTTCCGAGGGCGTTCCGGAACGCTCTCGGAGCGTGTTGGAGCTCTCTGAGACGGCCGCGGTGCCCCACACGTCCTCCGGATCCGTTAGGTCGAAGAGATTCCAGGTTTATCCCCAGACATTGGCTGCTCCAATTTTTCGATGCGTCGTCCCCAGAGGTCCGAACCACTTCCCTACGGCCGGTGTTTCGTCCTGAATTGTTTCTTCATGCTCCCGGGGCCCCGGTGAGGGCCCCCAGAGGCCGGAAACGGCAAAGACCGCCTGCTCCAGTTTTTGTGGGAGCGTCGGATTTTGGAGTCCTCATCCAGGTTTATCCTCCTCCTCCTCCTCCTCCTCCTCCTCCTCCTCCTCCTCCTCCTCCTCCTCCTCCTCCTCCTCCTCCTCCTCCTCCTCCTCCTCCTCTCGGCCTGGGATAGGGCTCCTTCGGCTGCCGAGCGGGCCAAGCTCCCACCGCTCTCTGGAGATCGGGGGGCCCTTCGGCCGCCCATTCTCGGCGGCAGGGGGTGGGCTCCAGCCTCGAGCGGGCTCAGAAGCGAATCGTGGGGCGGCCCTGGCCGAGTCGCGCGTGAGGTCGGGTCGAGGCTCGAGATCCTCCAGCTTCTTCTCGTTGAGAGGGGGGGTGGGGCCTGCGTGGACCTCCGAGGGGCTTCGCGCAGAAACTCTGGCCAGAGCGCGGCCCGGGAGATGCCCGGGAGTCGACCGAGGGGAAGAGGACCCAGAGTTCTGGCGACTCGGCAAACTCGCACCCCCAGGGTCGTTCGCCATCGCCGGCCCCCAGGGGCACGTTCTGGGCCGGGAGGTCGTCACGCCACGGCCCAGCAGGAAGAGCCGGCCCCGGGGGAGGGGTCGAGGAGGTCAGGGGCCGGCGGGTCGAGAGGCCGAAGGCGTCGGAGGTCCGGGGGCCGGGAAGTGGCCCTCGCTCCAGGTTCCTCGCGCCTCACTCTGCGCGTCTCACACCCTCTCGCTCCCCATTCCTGGCTCACGCTTCTCCTCCTCCTCCTTCTCTTTTCCTCCTTCGGAGCGCTAAGAAGGCGCACGGCGGCGACACGGACGCCGCACCGCAATCCACAGACAGGCCTCAACAGCAGCCGTGGCACTGGCAACGCTGCCCCGAATGACTCCAGCGAGTCGTAGTTTTCAGCAACCCACCTGCCCAACAGCCCAACGCGCAGGACGATGACAACGACGACGAGGGCACGCAACCCAGCACCATGCAGGACGAGGACGTCGTGATATGGTTCGATTTCATCCGCAAGAGCACGCGGAGGGCACAAAGCATTGATGCTGACACATGACATACCTGCTGCACTCCGCATGCACCGCATAATCGTTTGCCGATGGGCGAGTGCTGTGGCTCACCGCCCCCGACATGCTGGACGCAAAGAGTGCTTAATCCGAGCCCGAATCTCAGGACTCGACGACAAGGGCGCTGGCAACACGGAGGGCGACCAACATGATGGGACGACGACGCCCAGACGCCGCTCTACAGCTCGGACGGGCGCTTCTGCGAGGCCGACGCGGGGCAGGACCATAGTCCGGCAGCGACCGAGGCACGACAACACGAGCACCATTCGAAGAAGAAAAAAGTGATATTAAACATAATGTTTCGGCGCTCCGCGCGGTTTTCTTGGATCTGCGCTGGACCCCCCTCGCTGTCGCGCGGAGCGCGCCAGGGGCGGCGCTGGAGGCGCCGCCAGGGGGCCCCAGCGCAGATCCAAGAAGTCCGCGCGGAACGCCAACACTTTCTGCTTATGCCGATGGTTCTTCAGCACAAGCGACTTGCGCTGGGTGCCAGCCGCCAGGAGCACGGAGTGCTGGTGGCCGCGCGAGCCCGCCCGCGCACACATCTCGAGGCCGCGGCCTCCACGCCACGCGCCCTCGTGGGCACGGGCGGGCTCCCCCACCCCCAGAGGAGCGCGCACGACTCCGGCGTTTGCTTCGCTCCGCTTCGCTTCGCTTCGCTTCGCTTCGCTTCTCTCCTCCTCCCTCCTCCTCCCTCCTCCTCCTCCTCCTCCTCCTCCTCCTCCTCCACAATGACACACTTTGAATGCTAGTCTCCTCTCTCCCCTGGTGGCGTCCAGGAACTATTCGGCCCCCGTCGTCCGCGTATGATTTTTGTTTTACGCAGGGTTCCTGGGAAGCGTTTTTTTTGTATCGTTTTTTTTTTTTTTTTTTTTTTTTTTTTTTTTTTTTTTTTTTTTTTTTTTTTTTTTTTTTTTTTTTTTTTTTTTTTTTTTTTTTTTTTTTTATTATTTATTTATTTGTGTGTGTGTGTGTCGAAGTGCTGCTCTCGCTGAAGTGCTGGCCTCATTTTCGGGCTACCGCTCGTTCCGAATCGTGCTCCCTCTGCTGCGCTGGCCTCATTTCCGCGCTTCCGCTCGTTCCGAATCGTGCTCCCGCTGCAGCGCTGGCGTCATTATTTCCAGCGCCATGCCGCAGTATGGTTTTCGGTCCTTCCAAATCGGCCCCAACATATAGAAAATTGCCCCCCGAAACAACCATCGGACGTGATTACATATTCGGTGTCGATTCGTTTATTTTTGGGCTGCAGAAGCCCCCCCAATTTGGCGCGTCGCCACGCTATGCTATGGCAGGCTACGCGTTGATCTTCAACACCATGCTATGCCATGTAATGCTATGCCCTGCTACGACATCCGACTGTGCGAATTGAGAGCAGATCTACGCCATGGTAAGGGATGGGAGGGAGGGGTAGGACGTCAGGTATGACGCGAGCGCACCTGGCTTGTCCTCCCCCCTCCTCCTCCCCCCTCCTCCTCCTCCTCCTCCTCCTCCTCCTCCTCCTCCTCCTCCTCCTCCTCCTCCTCCTCCTCCTCCTGCGTCTCCTCCTCCTCTCCGCCCCTCCGTGGCCCCGCGCCCCCCTTCCGGTGCCACCTCGCAGGACCTGCTGGCCTGCAAAAGGTCCCGCCGGCCTGCCGGGACACTCCGTGGCCCCCGCGCCGGCCCGCGCGCGCGAGCGCCCGCCAGGCGGACCGCGACCGGCTGGCCCGGGAGCTGGAGGAGCGTCGGGAGAGAAACAAAAACACGCAGACACCATGAATATCGGGCGAAGAGAACTATGCACATGCACCGATCCTTGCAAGGCCCATCCTTGACCCAGGATCGGTGCATATGCCTTCCTGGCCAAGGTAGGAGGGCGTATGCACCGATCCTGGGCTCAGGATGGGTCTGGCCAGAATCGGTGTATGTGCATAGTTCTCGTTCCTCTAGAATCGTCGATTCCCCGGAAGTATAAGGGAAAGTATGGGAGGTGGGGGGGAAGGCAGAAGCCCAGAACATGTGCGAAAGGATGGGGGAGCCCGTGGTTTGTGTCTGCTTGTTTGTGTGTCCCAGGGCCCCTTTCAGAGCGAGCCACCCTTCAGGGCTCATTTCGACTCCTCCGGCTCGATCCGATTCGATGTCGATGGGTTCCGATTCCGATCCGGGTCGGCGTCGGATTCAGATCTGGATCTCGGCGGCTCAATGGAGGCCTGCTTAGCCTGCCGATCTCCGCCGATTCGACTTCTCCCGACTTGGCCGCCGACTTCCGCCGATCCGACTCATTTCGATCGCCGATCCGACGTTTCGATTCGATTCTGTGCTCTTGGGGGCTGCATCGACCCCCACTTCGAGGGGTTTTCGGGCGTTTTCGCTGGCTCTCGTCGGCCTTCCAGCCTCGGGATGCCTTCCAGCGGCTGCGCATCGCCGAGGGCGTTCTGGGTGCGCCCAGATCGTCCCGAGCGGCAGCCAGAGGCCCGAGGTTAGGACCCGAAGAAGCCACCCGGGGATAGGCTCCGGGAGGCATGCATCGGCCCCCCGTGGCCCAGTCCTCACTGGCGGGTGCTCGAGAGCCCACCCCTCCCAGGGCCGTTCGGCTCTGCCAGCGGGAGCCCCCTCGCCCCTCGATCCGCAGATGGCATCTATACACCGCCGCCGCCGCTGGCGAGGGCTATCCTGGGCCCCTCGTCCCCAAGCTGGCCCCCTTTCCTGTCGCTGCGCCTCAGGAGAGCGCCGCTCTCTCGTGCCAGTCCGCTTCGGGCGAGGGGCCCGCGGGGACGGCCTGTCTCTCGGAGAGTTTTCGGCGCGTGGACGTCGCTGCCCCGCCTGGGGGGCCGCCGAAAAACGACCCTGGATGAGAATCTGGCGCCAGGGGAGCGGTGGAAGGTTGGGGCCCCCTGACCCAGAACATCATTGACCAGGACTTTTTGGAGATTCTTCACGCTTCGCGTATCCCCTCCAGTTTCCTTTTCTCCTTTTCCACTCGCCGGCCCGCCGCTGAGGTGCTGCGTGAGGCTCCGGCCCACTGCTTCAGGTTAATTCGTCTTTGCGCGCCCCGCTCTGACTGGACTCGCCGCTGGCGCGCTAGCCTGCGGCAGCCGACTAAAAAAGTATCGCCTCCAGTTCGGCTCTTCGGTTCTTGCCCTCGGCCGCCTCTTCGCTCTCGCCTGCCTCTGTCTTGCTTTGTAGCTTTCGCCACCCTTGTGGCCCTTTTCCGCGTCTCACTTGCGACAGCAGGGCTTGCGCTACTCTTTCGACGTTATTTGAGGGCGCGCGGCTGACCCCGTCGCTCGCGAGCAAAAAGTATCCCCTCCGGTTTGAGGTCGCTGGGATCCCCCCCGTCCCTGGATGCTGGGCTGCAGGTGCTCTTTCTCCGCGGCCATCCTGGGCGCGCCTGAGGCTGGCCTGCTAGCCCCTTCCAGTTCGGGGCGCCCCCGGGCTCTTGAGCCTGCGACTCGCCTGTGTCTGCTGCCTCCGCCCGCTCGGGGTTGACCGCCTCCCCCAGGGTCGGCTTGTACCCCTGGCTTTGGCGCCGCCGCCTCCAGCACAAGGCATGGCCTTTTTCGCTGGCTCGTCGCCTTCGCTGCTCCTGTGTTGCCCTGGCGTCGCTTCTCCTGCTCTCCCGCTGTGGTGGCACTTCCGCTGCTGACACGCTCCCGCTCTTGGCGATCCGGAACCCTTCCGTTGAGCGCCTGCACGCCTGTTTGTCGTCTTCTTCGGTTGCGTCACGGTGGTCTTCGAGTTCGTCGGCTTCTTGCTCATCGCCATTTTGGCGCTGCACGTCGTCCTGGAGCCCTTCCTGGTCCTCCGCGTTTTTTGAGCCGCAGCGTAGTTCGCTCCTGTGCGCTTGGTGCGTAATTTAGGCCGTTGCTGTGTTGCTTCGCTCTGACGGCGCGCGGCTGTACCGTTTGCGCTCGCGACCAAAAGTATCCCCTCCGGCAGCCCTGTAGCCATCCTGGCGGCGCGTGCTGCTCGCATTCGCTTTGACGGCGCCCCCGACATCTGTTCTGACGGTGTCTGGCGATCCGGACTTGCTCCGTTGAGCGCCCGCATCTCTGGTCGATTTCACCCGAGGCGTGCGACACTGCTGTCACTCGTTCCGCGGTCCCTCGGCTCGGCTCTGGACTTGCTGTTCGTCGTGGTGGCGGTCTTCCTCGGCGTGAGCGTGGTGTTGGCCAACCCGAATCCCATCATTTTGGTGGTGCACGTCGCCCGGAAAGTTTTCCTGGTGTGCGCCCTCCTGTGAGCGGCAGCGAGGCTCGCCTCCTGTTTGCTTCCCTCCCCGCTTGGTCTTGTCTCTTTTCGCCCCTCCTTCTCCCTGTGCGCGAACTTAGGCCGTTGTCCGTGTGCATCGTTCCTGGGCGCCGCCCGACCTCTTCGCCGCGGTCGTGATCAAAGAGTATCCCCTCCGGCTCATGCAGACACGCTGCCGAGGAGAGCTGATTTTCTCTTGGCCCTCTTGGGGTCCTGTTCGGGCTCGCTCTCGGGGTTTTCTTGGGGCCCTCTTGGGGCCTTCGTGGGGCTCGTTCGGGGGGCTTGGGGCCGTGTTGGACCGCTCTTGTGGGCCTTTTGGGGGCATTATATGTATATCCCCCAATCAGAGTTTGCCTCTGTAGGGGTCCTAGCGGATTCATATGGTTAGGTTAGGGTTGTCGCCGATTTTCGCTGCGCGCCCCGGTGCCCGGGTGCCCGGGGGTGCCCGGGGGTGAGGTTGGCTGCCGATTTTCGCTGCGCGTCCGGGTGCCCGCGGGGGGTGCCCGGGGGTGCCCGGTTGCGCGGGTGCCCGGGCGTGCCTGGGTGCCCGAGCGTGCCCAGGGGGTGCCCGGGGGTGCCCGGGGGTGCCTTATAGCCCAATAGTCTTATAGCCCTACAATTCGATAGCCCCACAGCTCTATATCCCTATAACTCAATAGGCCTGTTGCCTTTTAGCCCCCTAGCCCTATAACCCTGACTGGGTTTTCTCTCCGGTCTCATATGTGTATACATTTACATATATATATATATATTATATTTATATTTATATATATATATATGCTCACACACACATATATATACATATATATATATATAGGCCACTCCTCAATAATCCTAATCACCTTCTCCTGGGGCCCTCACGGGGCGTTCTTCGGCTGCTCTTGGGAACTCTTGGGGCCGTCTGGAGGGCCTCTTGGGCCGTCCTGTGGCCCTCTTGGGGTCCTCCCTGTAGAGGCTCAGGCAGGTTTGAGGCCCGACGCATATGTATTTTCGTCTGCCGAAATCGTATTCCGTTTGCCGCTTTGGCCACCTGCAGATCTTAGGCTTTAGGCTCCCAGGCTTGTGTTTTCGCACTTCTGTGGCCCATGTGGCGAAGGCAAGGTTGTTTTCGCTGCGAGGGCGCAGCGCCCTGGTGCATTTTCGGTGCCCGCGAAGTGATCCTGTGTGCGCGTAGGGGCGCGGGAGCAAGTGCCCATGTGTGCCATGTTACTTTTCAGCAGGTATTGGCAAGCCACTTCCTCCTCCATTTTCGCCTCCTCCCTGTCCCTCCTTCCTCCTGTCTTGTCTGCCTGGTTATTCTTAGGCTTACGCCACACCGCCGACCCCTCTGTGTTTCTTGGGGGCTTCCTGGGGTCCTTGGGGCACGTTGAGGGCGTCTTGGGGCCGAAGGTTCGAAGTGTCCGTTCCAGTTTGGGAGCCTATGGGGCCGTCTTAGGGCGGTTTTGGATGCATCTTGGAGGGTCTTCCGCGCTGTGAAGGCCGAACCATCGCATATCGAAGCCGATTGGGGGGCCTCTTGGGGCCCCTTGGGGCCTCTTGGAGGCCTCAGGGGAGCCTCTTGGGGCCTCTTGGGGGCCTTTTGGGGGCGTCTGGGCGCCTTTTTGGAGCCTCTTGTGGCCGCCTGGGGGCCTCTAGGGGCGGACGGCGGCAGGAATGTTCGTTTCATGGTCCCCCTTTCGGGCCCCTCTTGGGGCCGTCTTGGGGCCCTTTTGGGTCGTTTTGGGCGCCTCTTGTGCCGTGTTGGGGGCTTCTTGGGAGCTTCCGTCTTAGGGCAGTCTTGGGGGCATCTTGGGAGGGCTTCCGCGCTGCGAAGGTGGAAAAATCGTATGTGGTAGAAATGTACGTTTCCAAAAGGGAATTTGACGATTTTGGCCTCTTGGAGGCCTCCTGGGAGGCCTCTTGGAACGTCTTGGCGGCCTCTAAGGCCGTCGTCGGCCCATGTTAGGCGTCTTGGAACGATCTTTCGACCCAAGTTAGGCGTCTTGGAACGATCTTTCGGCGTCTCGGGGCCCTCTTGGACCGTCTTGGGGGCCTCTTGGGCGGCCCCAGAGGCTGTCGTGGACCTCCAAAAGGAGCCCGGGAAGGGCCAGACCCCCCTGGTGAGCTTTGGCTGGACGGCCCCCCCCTCCAAATCGACCGGACCGGGCTCCGGGGGGAGGGGTTTGGGGAGGGGGAAGCATCTCACACGCCGATGATCCCCAAGGGGTCGGCGGATTTCGCTGCTTCTCCCACTGCTGAACTGCATCCAACTTTAAGCCTAGTTGTAGCCAAACTTTAGCCCAGTTATAGCCAACTTTTTAGCCCGCTTCTAGCCCACTTTCAGCCCGCTTTCGGTCCACTTTTAGCCCACTTTAAATCTAATTGTAGCCCACTTGCAGCCAACTGTTAGTCCACTTGTAGCCCGCGCGTGCCCGGTCTTTCATTTGCGTGCCCCAGGGGCCCGCAGGAAATACAAA